TAAGAGAGCCAAGAATCGATGGTTATTTAGGACATGTTCCAGACTCCGAAATTCAGCTTATGGGGTGCAGGGGTCTAGCGTGCTCTGTCCAATGTTGCAGTTACTAGCCACGTGTGGTTATTTAAATTCAAATTCATTAAAATTGCAATGCAGATCCTCAGCTGTACTAGCTAGATTTCGAGTGCTCAGTAGCCACATGTCGCCAGTGGTTACCGGGCAGGTGTAGTAGAAAGTTCCATTAGACAATGCTGGTCTTGAGATACTCAAAATTACACAATAAGCCCCCGATAATTTTTGATTAGTTTAAGAATAATATCTAATGAGTGTGCTTCCTTGCTCATTTTACTTCCTAACGAGGCTTTGCTTAGCCTATGTTAGTTAATATTACTTATATTCCTTGAATACGCCCCAAACGAAAGGGAGAGGCACGAGTTTTGAGAGGGGAGCAATGCTTTACGGCATTAAATTTGGTTCAGATAAAAACGGATACTCGGAATGCAGAAAATACACAGTTTTCTAAAAACACCTGGTAGATCCGTCGGATTTTAGATCCGAAAAGGGCCGCTGGTGGCGTCTAGTCGAGCCTTCTCATTTAACTGAGGAGACTTCGGAGGAACAGAGAGGTTAAGTAATGTGTGCATGTCACACAGCTACAGAATGGCCTGGTTACTCCCTTCAAGAAATCTGAAAGAAAACAAAACAATCCCCCCACCCCCTGCCCCAACACGACGTTTTATTGAATTTTAATATTTAACTAATGAATTTATAAATGCATCTTTTTCTAAATGCTTACACAGTAAATGGGTTTATTCAAAAAAATACTTTTTTTTTTTTTAAGTTTCGGATCATTCCTGCGTATACCGTATTTTCCTACATGGTCTTAGATTTAAACTTCTAGAGGGCATGGATGAAGGTGCTTAACTTGCCTTCTCTATTGTGCCTGCAAGTGCCATAGTGAGTGTGTGTACCTGGCTCTTTGGGCTTGGTATTCACCTGTCCTTGGTGTGATTTTTAAACAGACCAGAGAGGCTGGGTGCCTGCAATCGTAGCACTCTGCGAGGCCAAGGTGGGAGGATTGCTTGAGGCCAGGAGTTGGAGACCAGCCTGAGCAAGAAGAGCAAGACACCCGTCTCTGCAAAAAAATAGGAAAATAAGCCGGGCATGGTGGCGCTTGCCTCTAGTCCCAGCTGCTCGGGAGGCTGAGGCAGGAGGATCGCTCAGGCCCAGGAGTTTGAGGCTGCAATGAGCTATGATCACACCACTGCAAAAAAACAAAACAAAACAAAACGCGGAGAAACCATTTTGTTCCTAATCCTCTGCCTTTGCTGCTTGTAGCTCCCACACGTCCTGGCCAGTCTTGACCGGAGATTTTGTACCATGGATGCGGGCTTTTAGCGCCCTGTGCCCTCGTGTTTCCATCAGACAGTGTGATAAAGCCCCTGTGCTCTGGGTGTTGAATGAATGAACGATAATCTTGTCAATCAATCCCAGGTGCTTTATGTGTTGTATTGTTTTTCATTTGCTTATTCATGAACCTGTCTTTGTAGCCGTAAAAGCCTAGGCTGCTGTTTCATGAACCAGTCTAGGTATTTTTATAGCTCCTATTCTAAAATAGGTATTTTCCTTCTTTGTTATTTTAATTATTTGTTTTGAGACAGGGTCTCCCCTTTGTTGCCCCAGGCTAGAGTGAGTGCCGTGGTCAGCCTAGCTCACAGCAACCTCAAACTCTGGGCTCAAGCGATCCTCCTGCCTCAGCTCCCGAGTAGCTGGGACTACATCGCATGCGCCACCATGGCCAGCTAGTTTTTTTCATATATATAGTAGTTGGCCATTAATTTCTTTCTATTTATAGT